AGTCATTTCTCCTCTGCAGCCCCTGCTCTCTTCACCATTTAAACACACAGATCCTCCTTGCCCAAAGGTCATTTTGCCACACAGCAGGCCAGAAATCAGGTGGAAAAAAAAAATAAAGGGGAATAATTTGAGAGCTGAGCTCCTGCCTACCCTTGCGTTTGTTCAATCCTGACATCTAGTGGGCACCACTGCAAAGCAGGAGCAGCACGACCAGGCTCTCACCAGCAGCCACTGCTTTGGCTACTGATTTATCCTGCCACAAAGGACAATCTCCACCCTCAGCACAGCTGTGTCTCCTTGAAACCCTCCCAAGCCTCCGTGTTGGGCTTGCACGTGCGGACGAACCACGCGCTCAGTCAGGACGGGAAATCGCTCAGGTCCCGATCCCAACATCTCCCTGCTCTCTGAATCACCACACGGGTTTGGCAACGAGGGCCTCTCCTTTGTTTCTGAGAGATCATCCAGGGGTCAGTCCGAATTAGCAACCTGAGAAGAGGTTGCTGACAGCAGAGCATGTGCCAGGAAAGCTCTGCATTCCTCCAGGGTGAGCAACAACCTTCTCTCTGACATGGGCTGGGCTCCATCCAGCTCATCATCTCTGCTCTTTGACAGTGGTTTAGGCCAGTTTCATGTAGGACTAAACCCCCCGTGTGTTGCTGCGAGTTCTGCTCATTCCCAGCTATTCCACATGAACTGAATTTGCTGTAGGGCTACCAAGGCACCGGCACCAATCCTGTGGTGGCACCAACCACACCAGGGCCCAGCAGTGACCACAGAATCACAAACTGGTTTGGACTGGAACTGACCTTAAAGCTCATCCCTTTCCACCCCTGCCATGGGCAGGGACACCTCCCACTAGCCCAGGTTGATCCAAGCCACGTCCAGCCTGGCCTTGGACACTTCCAGGGGTGGGGTGTCCATGTGGGGTATGATGCCAAAAAGAGGGTCTGGGAAATGAGATGCCGTGACACCCTGGAGCCCAAATCCCACTGTGCTTCCACAAGTGTTGGCTGAAGGATGAGAAGGGAACTGAGCCCGTTTTTTCTGCAGCATCACTGGATGGTGGTGTCCTTCACCCGTCCCACACCATGGGAATTCCTGCCCAGACACTGTCAGCATAAAAAGTGTTGGGGTGTACAAAAAAACCCCAGAGAAAATGCAGACAAAAGGAGTGATTCTGCCATGGATGCAGGTTTTACTACTTCTCCCAGAGAGCAGAAGGTCAGCAGTTTCCATCCTTCCCCAGGGACACATGGGCTGTGCAGGGGCCGGGTGTCCTGCCACTGCCCCTGCCGCTGCAGGTGGCTGAAACTGCTCCTGCTCATTCCCCAAATTACTACACGAGTCCAAATTAACATAAATCCTCCCCTCTTCCCTCATCCTACACATTGAAAGGGTGACCATATTGCAGCTTCTGGTGAGGCAACACTCAAACCAACCACCACACAGACACCCCAAGTCCCGCTCTAATCCCTTTGCCGTCCCCCTTCAGCCATCGCTCCTTTTTTTGCTGCCTCGGAGTTTCTGAGCAACCTCAAACCCTGCAGGAGGAGAGTTTCTACTCTGCACATTCCTGCCAGGGCAAGGAGCATGTGGAAGGGCGTGGGGAAAGCTCCCTCCCTGTCCCTGCTGCGGCATAAATCTGCACTCCCGGAGCAAAACCCCACAACCAAACGCGTGGTCCGCTCACACAGACCCGACTGCAGCCAGGGGGGCTGGAAGGGAACATCCACAGCAACTGTCATTGGTGTGCTGGAGCATCCAGTGCTTGAGTCAGCGATTTGAGACCAGGACAAAGGAAATACTACTCCCTGCTGCCAGATAAACATCTGCACAGCAGATGCCACGTCAGCTTCTAGGTGTGAAGGCATTTGCATACACGCAGCAGGGAGCAGAATTCATTTTGCTGGGTGGGGGGGGGGAAATAAAGGGTTTTCTTTGCCTTTTTTTTTTTTTCATAGAGAAGTGCACATTTGATTATCATACATCAGCATTCTATAGAATCATGGAACATCCAGAGTTGGAAGGGACCCACGAGGATCACTGAGTCCAACTGCTGGCCCCGCATCACTGCTTTTAGGCCAAGAGAACTGTCTGTTAGGAACTGGGAAATGCAGGAGTGAAACAGGGAGGAGTACAAACCCAGCTGGATCATGTGTCAATCCACCTTATCCTCCCTAGGACACAAAGACAGGTCTTGGGGGAACAGCCCAGGAGGTTCTTCTGCTCACCTTCCACTAGACCAGGTTGCTCCAAGCCCCATCCAAGCTGGCCCTGAAGGGCTGATTGTTCTGTTGAGTCAAGCAATCCAGAAGAACCATGGAAGAGGAAACATCCCTTCCTCTGTTGGACCTCTACACCTTATCAGCACCTTTCACCTCCTTCTGCTACAGCTGATCATCGAGGGCTCTGACTCTGTGTCTTCCTGCTTTTGAGACAGAAATTCCTACAAATTAAGTCACCTTGCTGCAACGAGCAGGGAAAATTAACTGAGAGCCAAACTGGGTGGGAGAGCCGCTTTAGACAGAAAAATCAGTTGATTTTGACTGTGGCATAACTGATAAAGCATTAAAAAACTCAACAAGAAACCCCCCCAAACTGCACAGTAAGCTTTCCCCATCACAAAGAGCTGCAGGGTGGGCTCTGGGCATGGAGTGGAGGGGAACGGGACAAGACTGCTCAGACCTGTTTCCCGGGAGAGGAATATATCAGAGGTCTGTTCTAACCTGGCCTCCTTCCTAAAGCCATTAGTACCTGACAATCACCGTCATCAGCGTCCCTCAGCTCCCCACATTAGCGACCCAAGTACCATTAAAGCCGGATTTCCTGGTGGGCTACAACTCAAGCCTTTGGATTTGCAGGAAGGCACCTTTTCTGCAGCTGCTGCACCCCGGGAGAAAAAGGAATCGAGTGAGTTTGTTTGTTTGTTTGAATAATCAATAATTAGCCGAGACCATTACAGAAAATTACGAGCAAACAGAGAGCAACCTAGAACAAACAGATGGAATAACGAGCTTTTAATAGCATCAGTATGGGATGGCACAAATATCCTGGACACGGTGGCACTCGGTGCCTGAGAGTCCTCCCAGGGAGAGCCCGCACATCAGAAGGGGTTGTCGATGGACAAGTGTGTATTTAGCATCTCATGAGCTCATCCAGTTGCCATCACTGCAGAAACTGAGTTTGGGGAAAGACTTCCTTTCACTGCAGAACAGTTTTTCACAGCAAAACAAACAAACAAACAAGGACACAGCATCAGGTTCTTCCTTCCCACGTTGGATCTCTGAATCTTGACTCCTCACATTCTCCAGCCTAATCTGGAAAACAGCGAGGAAGGAGAAATATCAGAGCTGAGAATTCGCCTCATGCTTCACAGAACCAACCAAACATCCACAGCCTTGGGAAAAGGGTGTTCAGCTTCACCAATTATCGCTTATTGACTCGCTCAGCGTCAGAGTCCCACCACGTGGAATCTGCAGAAAGAAACCTGCATATGCAAAACACTTCATATGTGCACAAATGTCATGGCAGTGGCTAATTAGGGTAACAAAAAAAGAAAAAAAAGAGGGGAAAAAAAGCACAGCAGATTGTTAGAAAAATTAACGGCAGTGAAATAAGTACACAAATCAAGAGGCATTGTCAAGTCTCAAAAGCAGAGATGGTCGAGGCTTGGAGCTGGTGTCGGGTCTGCTCTGAAATGGATCTGAATTAAGAGCTTCAATATGCAGAAGAAATTGGAGATGTGTTTTTCAGGGGGAACATGTGACTGTTTCCCCAGCATTCTGTAGCCTACACTGTCTCTTCAGCAAGTTGGTCACCATGGCAACCTGAAAATTTTTTCCCTGAGACAATTCTGTTGGCAAAATTTGAGGGCTAGATTCGGGTTGGAAAGGAGCATCCCCACGTGTGGAAGTGATGAAACAGAGTCACCGCTCTGCGAGCAGTTTGTCCAGGAGCACCTGGGTCCTGCCCAGCCCTGGAGAAGGGAATGCAGGGCTAAGGACCAGGACCAGCCACTGCACTCACCACTGGGGACCAACTGACTGGAGAAGATACAGGAACCAGTGGGAACATGGGAAATTCCAGCTCAGTTTAAGGCAAAAAAAACCTTCCCCCAAGAGTGCTGCTCTCTAGAGCCCAAAGAGGATGAGGGATCTCCATCTCAGGGTATCCAAAGCAGCCTCAGGAACCCAGCCTTGCTTTGAGGGGTCCTTCCCAGCCTGCCTGATCCTTTGACAAGCTCGATTCCAGTGCTTCCAAACTGCAACCCTGAGCAGCAGTTTGAGGGCAGCAGTTTGAGAGCAGCCAAGAGCCCTTTCTGCTCCTCCAGGGGGGGAAGTCCTGGTGGTTTTCTCCAGGAATTTGATTAAGGGGCTTGTGAAGCCTAAGGGGTCATCCAAGCTCTGCATCCCCCAGAAGCAGGGACAATTTCCTCCACGCAGCTGTGGGTCTAATCCTTCCACACAGATCGAGAAGGGGTGGACAAAGGGCAAGGCAGAAATTGCTGCTGCTCAGAGCAGCAACAGGAGATTGTCAGAGCGATTCCCCTCTCTGTCAGAACAGCTCTGACCTCGGCCAGGAAAGGTCTCTGTTTCCATCCCAGTCCTTTCCCCCTGAGCAGATGAAAGCTTGCTGTCCTCCCTGCCAGGGCAGGGCACAGCTGCCAGGTGCCACCAAGGGCTCAGCCATCACAGGAGGACTGAGCCAGCAGCCTGTCATTCCCCAAGCTCTCGCTCCCAGAGCTGATCCGACACGGCGCTCACACACTCTGCAACAGATCCCACTCTCCAGGGATTTTCCTGCCCTCTGGTGCTTCACTTTTTTTGTTTTTTTTTTTCTCTTTTTCTTCTTTTCCCCAGAAAGCAATAAGCTGCTTTCTGAGAACTGTAGAAGGTGAGTGGGTGAATGAGAGAGGAAAAAAAACAACAACTAAGACATGGGGATATGAAACGGCAACTAAAATCAAGCAGCTCCTTAATGAGGACACCGGGGATTAAAGCTCGTTTTTCCAGGCCCCAGGAGGGCTTTGCACCCTGCTCTGGTGTTATATTAATAGGAGACAGATAAACAAGCATCCTTTTCACTCTGAAGGTTTGGATCCTGGATTTCTTGGGATGAAAAGAGGCCCAATGCTGCCAGTCACTCTTCCATTGAAAAAACCCCCAAAAACAAACCCTGATATTCAAGGATGCCAGACCATTCAGTTCTGCATCTGCAAGGCTGCTAATCAGCTGCCAGCAACTGCCACCACCATGTTCCTGCCAGCAGCAAGGTGTGCCAGGTAAGAGAGAGTAATTGCCAGGAAAATACAGACAACTCGAGGAGGAAATCACAGCCTTGATGCTGGAGGGATTTGATTTTCTGTTAAAAAATGCTTTCCTTGTGTGATTAATAAGAAAAAATCAGCATTCACATTGCAAAGGCAAGGAACTTGCTGCCTTATTTTCCTGTTCAAGGACAATGAAGCATCGCTGGTGGGATTCCAGATGAAAGCCACGGGTCAGGCACAGGAAAACTTCCTCAGGCCGGTGGTTTTGGAACAGCAGAACGCTGGGACCCCTTTGCTTTCTGGGCTTGGAGGTCATTAATCACTGATGGGGTTTTTCAGATGCAGTTTCTAACTCCTGCAGGCACCAGCAGACCGGTGGGTCTGACGGCTGCAGACTCCAAAATGTTCTTTGTGTAACAACTGCACTGATTCCCCCCCCCCTCGAATATTTAGCACACTCTAATAAACAAAAAGAGCTACAAAGCACCAGTGAGATCATTTAGCCCAGCTTATTGCACAGAATTCCAGGCAAAGAGTTCCCCTGAAATAACTCCTGTAGCCAAAAAGATGAGAAGATCTGGTTCAGGAAACGGAAAATCCAGCATGAAAAACTCTTGTCAGCCACTTGCCTGAGCAATTTTTGCAGCAGCCAGTTACCCATCCTGTTGTGCAAGAAAAAAAAAAAAAAAAAGGAACCACATCTCATTTCTCACCTGAACTTGTCTAGCTTTGCCTGTCAGCACCAGGCTCTTTGAGGAAGAGATGAAAGTCTTCTATTATTAAATTGCTATTTCCCCAGCCTCCCCCAAAAATATTCTCAGCTAAGCTGAGCCAGCTGAGCTGCTGCCATCTCAACTCTCATTTCCCATGCCCCACCAAACACTGCCATCGCACTATGGCTTATAATAATTCCAGTCAGGATCACACAGGTGCCAAAACCCAGGGAAGACAGGCAGGAATAACTTTCCCTGGCCTCAAACATGAAATCATTTGAGGGGAGGGGGTGTGTGGCTCCAAATTAAACCCAGGGATGAAACCCTCTCATTCTGGAAACAACTGAAATCAAGAAGACCTTTCTCCACACTTTACAGCTAAAAAGTCAAATTGATTAAAAAAAAAATAAATAAACAGGGAGCTTTGGGGTGTTTTGATGTCCTCTCCCAATCTCATGGTGTATCTGCCTCTGAGATGTCCAAAATCCAGGAGGACACTGGGATGAAACACAGCTCTACAGATGACACTTGCAACCCCCCCTTCAAGAGCAAGCAGAAAGTATTAAATTTCAACCTGCTCAGGATTTCAAGAACCATAAATTTCTCCCCATGTACTTCACTTTCTCTTTCAAGAAGATTTTACAGCTTGCTTTTGGCCTGGAGATTTGCTAGACAGTAGGTACAGGAACACAAAGCATTCCTGTTAAAGCTTAACGGGGATAGCTCCTCTTGGGAGCCAAAGGATTAAAGATACCTGGCACTTCCCAAATGCAAAGGAAAATCAGGATTCCTCTAAGGAGACAGGCAGTGATTAAAACAGCCTATTGGCTTTAGTGGCTCATGGATGAACTAAAATAGCACGTGGATTTAAAGAAATCATTTGGACAAACGGAGCTGAGTGCCTGGGTTTTCCTTTCATATCTTGTTTCCAGGAGAGCAGGGGAGGGGGGTTTGTCTCCTTCAGCACATGGAGGTTTACCAGGGATACGCTTATGAGTAACATGTGTTAGGTTTTTGGTGAGTCATCAGTGTTAAATTCCATTTAAAACTGGCTCCAGTGCAGGAGGCTTGAGCTGAGCTCAGTTCTGGCACTCTCCAGGGACAGAGACCTGCTAATGATATGTACCTAAACGAGTGCTTGAAGCCTTTTTAATCACAAAGACATAGCACTACCTTCCTTTCCCAACTGCTTTAAACCTGTTCAGCATGCCAAGGAACAGAGCACGCTCTGCGTTGCCAAAACTCTTTCAAAGCACTCCCCTTTAGATTAAATCCCTCAAATGGCAGGTAAGATATCAGCAGCAATTAGAGCTGCTCCCACACAGAGCCTCAGAAGCAGGTCAGCAAAGGTGGATTGTGTAGGATAGGCCTTGCCAGCTCCAATAAATCATGGGTGTCTTTCGTTATCATCCCCATTAATTGGGCTCCAAACATCTCCTTCACAGATTCCCTGCAACAAATGCTTTTCCCTGGGCAAACAGCACCAGATCCTCCCAGATCCATCACACCACGGTCAGGTTTTGTTCCCTAAGCTGTGTGGCCCCTGGGTCAAGGTGTTTTGGGACAAGGTCCAAAGAATCCACAAAACATCAGGCAGAAACATGAGTCTGCCAATAAAGAGATACAGAATCACAGAAGAATTGCTGAGGTTGGAAAAGATCATCGAGGCCCAGCACCATCACCTTGTTCACCACTAAACCGTGTCCTCAGGTGCCACATTTCCATGTTTTTTGAACACTTCCAGGATGGTGACTCCACCAGTGCCCTGGGCAGTCTGTTCCGAAGCTTTACAACCCTTGTGGTGGATTTTTTTCCCCCTAACATCCAACCTGAGCCTCTCCTGGCACAGCCTGGAGGCCGTTCCCTCTCCTCCTGTCCCTGTTCCCTGGGAGCAGAGCCCGACCTTGCCCTGACCCCCCACTCCTGTCAGGGATTGCAGAGCCAGAAGGTCCCCCCTGAGCCTCCTTTTCTCCAGGCTGAGCCCCCCTGCCCCAAAAACTGCAGACCCAGGGTGTACAAATGCTCCACCTGGAACTGTACTCACCCAAACCAGATTATTCCATCTTGTCAGAGCTGGGGTTGTGCCAATCCCCACGGCTGCCACCCCTTCCCCCTGAAGGGAAGGCTTCAGGAGCAAAGGCATCTTCTAAAACAGAACATGGGGACATACATGAGCATGAGATGCTTTCAAACATGTGGTCATTGTTGCCCAGAGCTGTGGCTGCCCAAGGAAGTGTCCAAGGTCAGGTTGGATGGGGTTTGGAGCAGCCTGGGCTAGTGGAAGGTGTCCCTGCCCATGGCAGGGGTAGAGTGAGATGGGCTTTAAGATCCCTTCCAACCCAAACCAGTCTGGGAGTGTAAAATAAATAACATTCAGCATTCAGGACAAAATCAAGGCACCCTCAAGGCTGCACACTAGTCCTGGTTATGAGAGCACAAACTGCTGATCTTCCACATTGTCTTCCCCCTCACACAGGTAACCATGAGATGTTACAAAGGACAAGCACAGGCCAGGGCAGTCCATCGTGGCAGGGCTGTCTCACCTTCCCTGTGAGTGCTGCCTCGCCGGCTGGGGATCATTTTCGGCCCGTACATCATCTGTAAATTAAAGACATTTCTGTGAAAAGCTCATCCGTCAACAAGGCCACCTCTCCCTTTCCTCAGGCATGGGGTGATCGCTAAAGGAACTCCAAACCTCATTACTAACATTGCTGAAAACAAGCATTGCTGATGCTGCTGCAGAGTAGGGGTGTTGCTCAGGAAGTTCGTGGTCACAGGGAGGCTCTCGGGTCAGAATCCTTCGTGCCTCACACCTTACCTCACCTCCCTGCAGTGCAGACACAGCCAGGGGAGCAGAGCCTGCACAGCTCTTACTCTGTTGCAGCCACAGGACACATTTATCCAAAGCTGTATTTTTAAAAGCTTTGTTTTATTGGTTTCTAACCCGGTACCGAGATCCCACTGGTCGTGATCAGTTGACTTGTTCAGGCTGGAGGAGACTGAGCTCAGCCCTCATCAGAGTCTGAGCTTCCTCCTGCAGGGCAGCTCCAGTCTGCTCTGTGTGAGCACTGGCAGGATCCAAGGGAACATCTGGAGCTGTGCCATGAGGGGTTTAGGCTGGATCTCAGGACAAGGTTCTTCCCCCAGAGGGTGGTTGGCACTGAACAGGCTCCCCAGGGCAGTGGGCACAGCCCCAAGGCTGCCAGAGCTCCAGGAGAGTTTGGACAACACCCTCAGGGAAGGGTGGGATTGTTGGGGTGTCCTGGGCAGGGCCAGGAGTGGGACTTGTTGATCTTTGTGTGTTCCCTCCAGCTCAGGAGACCCTGGTGATCCCAGCCTCAGTCAATCACAAATCCTTCTCCCCAAATACCACCACAGCTACCCCATCACCATCTCTGCCAGGCTGAGGTCCCTCGAGCTGAGTTACAGCTCTCGAGCAAGAGCTACAGTGCACTTGCTGCAGCCCTCTGCGGAGGGAAACACTTCCCTTTTCAAGTGCAATAATTCCCTTTGGCATTTATTCCTTATTAACATTGCAGGAAACACATTTCCCAGCAGGACTGGTGGCAGCAGCACTGAATTTTAAGCGATGGTGAAGGAAGACTCGCAGAAAGATGTCTGCTTGTAAAAGCAAGTGTTTGTGCTGAGTGCCCTATTAAACAACAGTTATGTCAACCCACAGAGGACTGACTGAACATCCAACACTCTGTCCCACATTTCAGGGCTTCACATGCAGCCTTTCCACTCTGCAAATCAAGGCTTCCTGTGGTGCACCCACCAGCTAGCTCTGAACAGAGATTTTGAGGAAAAAAGAAAAAGAATAAATGACAAGCTAATTTGGCAATTCAAGCCAGGTGAAGGTGACACAGAATCCTATTTGTTTACAAGGCACCTGGAGAGGGACTTTTCACAAGGGCTTGTAGTGACAGGACAAGGGGGAATGGCCAGAGGGCAGGGTTAGATGGGATATTGGAAATAAATTCTTGGCTGTGAGGGTGGGCAGGCCCTGGCACAGGTTGCCCAGAGCAGCTGTGGCTGCCCCTGTGTTCCTGGAAGTGTCCAAGGCCGGGTTGGACAGGGTTTGGAGCACCCTGGGCTAGTGGGAAGGTGTCCCTGCCCATGGCAGGGGATGGGTCTAGATAAGCTTTCAGATCCCTTCCAACCCAAATCACTCTGTGATTCCATGGTTCAAATTATTAATTTAGTTGCTCACACTTTCCAAAATTAAAAGCTGTCCACGTGCTTCCTGGAGAAACTTTGTTCCCTCAAGCACAACACCCAGTGTAGAGCTGTGTTCAAAGTGCACCCAGGTTCAGGTGTCAGTTCACAGATAACATGAACACTGGCACGATTTGAAAACAGCCAGCAGGAATCCCCAGGTTTGGTCAGCATTTCATCACAGCCTAGAAACCAAACAAGAGCTCAGAAAGGGAACACAGAGATCTCAGCAGAGCAAACGTCCTTCAGTGGTGCTGTGGTGACGTTCCCAGCTGAGAGCGGGGTTTGGTGACAGAGCCAGAGCCACCAGGATTTGCTCTGTCCAAGACATGCCTCTGTTCTCCAGGCACATACCAAGGAAGGAAGTGCTGGAGTTGGTGGATGTGCCAGGCTGCTGCAGAGATTCACACACTGAGCAAGGTCACACCCCTCAGCTGATGGAAAGGGAAGCGTGACAGGACACCGCTGGATTTCAAACCACGGGCAGTTTTCTGATCAAGACACCCAGTTTTGGAGCTGCAGTTCACACACACAGACACCTGACTTCTCTTTAAAAGAGGATGAGAAGACTTTCCTGTCCCCCAGGCAGCACAAAGCAGTTTTCCCTTTCCTTACCTCCTCGCTGCTCAGCGACTCAGAGCTGACCGTGCCGTGGTGGCAGCGCACGATGACGCTGGAGACCTGCTCACCAGAGACCTCCACAACGCTCCTGCAGGAAGCAGTTGGCTGCAACAGAACCAAACAGAGCAAATCTCAGAGGGCAAACCTCCAGGAGATGAGAGTTTCCTTGGGGGTGGGAATCTCACGGATCTAGAAAACAAACTCCAAGACAAAGACACTCAAGAAAGATTATACATGACTGACACACAGGTTGTTGCTCCACAGCTACCTGCTGGCTGTACAACCTCCACATCCTTTTCACTGGCCTGGCATCACCAAGCACAAAACCCAGGGTCAGTGCAGGGCCATGCCAATGGCAGCTCCAGCTCTGAAAGTTAAATTACCTTTTTTTAAAAAAAAAGTTGCCTCTGCAGTTTGACAGAAGCTCCAGTAAAACCTGCACTCCAGTGCATCCTCACACTATCTTTCACACTGTATTGCCCAAGAGGGATGGTGCCTGTTTAGGGTCCAGGGATCAAGAACCTGTTTATTTGAGGCTGAGAGCTGAAGAGCTGAAAGCCATCAGCACAGGGAGAGAATCTGCACTGCATGGGAAGAGAAAGCTTTATGTGATGCCCAGATGCACAACAGGCTCAAGCAGGTCAAATATCAGCTCCTCCAACCACCTTATCTTAGAGGAGAAGCCATCCCTTCTGGAATTTGGCCCCAGAGCACACAGACACTTTTCCTACATGCTGCTCCAAGACACAAGTCCCATTTTCAGCTCACAGCAGCCCCTGTATTCCCTCCCCACTGACCAGGCAGAAGAGTTTGCCAGCACTGACCCTTCCCACCTAACGCCCACTCCGTGCTGGGGGTTTTATCTGCTCAGGCTTTCAGCAAGCCAGTCAGTCATTCCTTGTTTTTCAGCACCAGTAGCGTTCCCAACACATCCTGAGAGCATCCTGCAGGGAGGGGAGGGCTCCCACTCCCCCCAGAGGCACTCACCACATAAGGCCCAGTTTTGAAGTGGCAGGTGAAGGGGTCTCTCCCCGAAGCCTTCGAGCACACGGTCTCACGGATGCTGAACTGCAGCTCTAGTCTGTAGGCATCACTGTCCCACATGTCAACCTGGCAAAAGGAAGGTCAACACAACGTGTAATTAGTGCTTGTCACTCTCCTGTGCCCACTGCATGGCAGCCTTGCTTTGATTTGTCAAGCAGGAGATGGCACGAGGGCATTGGGGGTCAGTGCCCAACTCAGAGCAGGGTGCTGTGGGTGAGAAAGCCTTTTATTGGTAACAGCAACATAGTCTATTGCAAACACCTGGCTTGGAAAGCAAATCCCCTGAGTGCAAGCAGGTGATTTAATGCAGCTTATAGAGGCTCCCCATGCCAGCTCAGGTGCCTCAATTGGCAGCAACAAATCAGCATTGCTTTCAGATATTTGTTGTTGTGGGGTTTTTTTGTTTGTTTGTTTGTTTTTCTCCAGACTGTATAAGTTCAAAAGTCATCTTGTCATTCATTCTTGCAGAAGACTGGATACACACCACCTATAGAAACAGTTCTGAGGGTGTTCAGGAGCATGGACATGCTACCCTTGAATTAAGAAGCGTAAACTCCTTAACTCTGGGTATCCAGTTTAATTCTTAGCACCACGAATTAAAACAGATAGAGGTTTCCTACTTGCATTTAGACTGCAGCAGATTTAAACCACAACTGGTGGTTCAGACAGGTGACAAATACAGAGTGGAGAAAGAATGTGTGGTGGCATTTAATTAGATGAATTGAGATGAACCAGGTTGCTTGGTGCCCCAAGCAAAGCAGTTAGCTGGAGATATTCAAAACCAACACTTCTGAACAAAATCTTACAAACACATCCTTCAAAGATTTCTGTTCTGAGGGCGAAAAACCTGAACTCCTAAAGTATTTTTAATTACAAACCAACAAAACAAAGGATTTTTTGTTCCTAAAGCCATGACTCCGGATAATGCCCCAAGCCCACCCTCTTCCAAGCAGAAAACTCCAACTAAATCTGGGTTTCCAGAGCTGGTTTGCAGAGCAAAGCACGTTTGGGGTAAAGGATCCCCGTTGCCTGTGCACTCACTCCCGTGACGTGGCTCCTGACAACACCATACAGGTTTCTCCCCCAGGACTGGGAGTTGATCCGTGCAATGGAAGCATTGAGAGCCTCTTCCATGACAGGGAGTTCATAGTCATAGGCTGGAAACCCTGAGAGGGAAGCACACTTCCATTAGGAATTCACTGTGGACTTTCTCCCCAAAACCACCCTGAGGAAGAGGACGTGGCTCCAACTTACCCGAGCACGAGAGAACGCTCAGTGTGAGGAGAAAAATTAGGACTCTCATGGTGTGTCTCTGAAAATTCTCCCTTTCTAAGCAGGGATTTCCAGTGCATATTGCTCTGTCTTTATATAAATGCAGCCTTGATCCCATGCCTGACCTCCCCATGCCCAAGCTCTGCTACAAACATTGCACTTTAAACAGAATTGATCCCAGGATAAATATTTGCTGTCAGCTCTTCTCCCTTTAGCAGTAGCTCTCTGATAAGGGATGGGCTGCAGTGCCCTTTTCCCAGGACCGAATTCCCAATAGGAGAATTCAGGGAGCACTGAATTCCCTATATCTCCATAGCCAAAGGTAGAATGTAGTTACTCTGTTCACTTTTAACCATTAGTTTTCCATGGGGTGAGACAACTCTTTCCTTAGCACTTTCATCAGGTTGGACATCAGGAGGAATTTCTCCCTGGAAAGGGTGCTCAGGCACTGGCAGGGGCTGCCCAGGGAGGTTTGGAGTGCCCAGCCCTGGAGGTGTCCAAGGCAGGCCTGGCCGTGGCACTCAGTGCTCTGGGCTGGGGGACAAGGTGGGGATGGGGCACAGGGGGGATCCATGGGCTGGGAGGGCTTTTCCAACCTCAGTGATGTTGGGATTCTGAGGAGTGTCTAATCCCTTTGGCACTGCAGGTCCGATGGACACAGCCTCACCCTCCACAGCTCCTACTGGTGTTGCTGGAAGTGGACTTTGAGAGTGAAGCAACAGAAAGTACAAGTTACAGCAAACAAACCCTCAGTAACACACCCCTGGCGGGTGTTCTGAAACACCACAGCCTGCAGCAGAACCTCAGAGGCCCCACTGCCTTACCTGGAGCCTTTGAAACTTTAAATATTTAGATTTCCTGTGCCTGCCTGGTCAGCAGGAACAGCTCTTACAGGCACGACCCAGTAGCTGATGCAAGGCAAATATTACCTCCAGCCCCAAAGGCTGGTACTTGAAAAGCCACAGAGCTATGTCTGGTTTTAAATGTATTTATTTATTTATGTTTAGCTGACCGTACTGGTCATTTCCAAGGTTTTCTCCCTATCTCTGGGGCACATTCTCCATCAGTTCTGCTGGTACATCCTTGCATTTAGTGAAAGTTACCTGCAATCACCAGTCCCTCCCCGTGCTGTGCCCCTGCCCACCCATCACATACGTACAGGGCACTCTGTGATGCATCCAGACCACAGTGTTGGCCACATCTCCTGTCCTCCTCTTGGATAGACTCCCTGGACCCCCTGGTTCCAGTGGGTGCTGGTCCCTCCTGCAGTGAGGATGATGGTGGTGCTTGGTTACACCTCCAGGAGAAACTTCAGCTATTCCACAGGTGCAGCCAAGGGGAGCAGGACAAGGTATTCTGGAGTCCAAACAGCCAGCAGTGATTGCTTACACCCCCACAGAAGGAAGAAATGGTGTGAAGAAGACCTGTTGGACCTCTTATGTGTCCCTCATTTTAGATTTATAGAGCAAAGCAGCTCCAGGACCAGAGCAGGAAAGGCCTGAGCAGGAAAATCATGGGGGCCCTGCTGCAGCCCTCTGTGTTATCAGCCTGCCCTCATCCTGTCACCACCAAAACAAGACACAGAGACACAGCCTGATGTCCTGGGGAGAGAGCACAGGTCAGGCTCTCTCTGAGCCCAGGCAGGAGGTTCACAGCATCAGGGACCACTCCTGAGAAACACCTGACCCACCTGAGGATCCACAGTAGGTCCTGGGTGATCGTGGTCAGTAGGCACCTTGCTCCATCACCTCTCTTCTGAGGCAGGGACCTTGCAGGACCATCTTAACTTCTTGTAGTTCTACTGTTTTCATCGACCCCCTTGCACATACACAAAGCTTAACCCCCTCACCCCCATGGTGGTGGCAGCACAGGAGTTGAACTTGGGATCCCTGTCACCTGACACAGCTTTTACACCCAGTCTGCCAAAGCCAGCTGATCCTCTCTGCTTCACCGAAGTACTGCAACACCTCTTCCTTCATTTGTGCTTGGAGGCAACCCTTGGGGTCGAAATCCTTCATGAGATTTCACAATGAACCCAAAAAGTTCATCCTCAAACATCATTTGCCCCCCTCTCCGACCTGCTTCCAGCTAAACCAGCCACCCATTTCCAAGTGAACCTCATCCCTTGCAGTCTCTTCCTGGGTACATAATTATTTTGTCATGTTTGTTGCAACATGCAGCTTGCTGTTCCAAACCATAACTTGCTGCACTGGGTTTGGCTGGGATGGATTTAATGACCAAGAGAATGTTGGTAACACGAGGACGTTCCAGCTCCTGCAGCCAGGCTGGTGATGAGTGACTGCTTTTGCATCGCTGTTTTTCTTGTTTTTCACTCTTCACTTGTTAAACTGTTGTTGTCTCAACCTAGAATTGCAGTTTTTTTCCTTTTTTTGCCCTTTCCACGCTCTCATCCCAGCGGGAGAAGGCTTTGCTGCCGCCTGGAGCCAACCTGCCGCAGCCGCACTCGCGGCCATCCATCCCCGCGGAGTGACGCTGCCTGCTTCCAGTGGGAAAAGCCATCGCAGGCACTCTCGGCACTCCTGCCACTCGAGGAATTGGGCGTCAAACCGAGAGGGCTGAAAGCCTGGAGAAAATTACAGAAGGGGGGAAGGCTGTTATCCCCGGATTTGTGGATTTTATAGTTGAAGTTTATGCCTGGCTGACCCTTTTAAGGGCTTGAAGTGAGATTTGGAGTTTGTGGGTTTGGGAATTTTTTTTTTTTTTTTTCTTTTAGGTGGAGATTCTTAAACTACACAAACACCCCAAACACTTCACAGCTCCAGCTCTACATTGATACCAGCCACAAAAAAACAAACAAACAAAACCCAACAAACCACACACAAAACCCCCCAAAAACCAAACAAAAAAACCCCAACCAAACAAACGAAAAAACCCCACAACAACAAAAAAATCTAATATCCAAATAAATGTTGTCTATTTGCTCACTATTTTGAGAGCAGAACAGGAAAGAAAGGTGAAGTTTGTGAATAAATTATTCACTACAAATTACAAAGTAGCCCTTGCTTTTGGCAACGGGGCACCCTCCAGCCCAAAGGGGATGTACTGTAGAAACTCAGGAACATTTCACCTGGAGCAGTTCTGCTGCAGTCAATCCAGCCACGAGGTTCCAACCTCACCCTGCTGCATTTTTGTTCCTGCTGAAACCATCCTGAATTTATGAATCCAAGATTTCACAGAAAGCAAAAAGCAAAAAAAAAATATTGCAATCAAGGTATAATTACAGCCCGTGATTAATGTCTAAATTACATTAATCTCTTTTCAAAATACCTGCATACAAGCCACCAGCTTAGGCAAGCAGAACACTTGCAGCCTTCCCTTACTCATATCTCCTTCTCTGAGCTGATCCTTTAAACTGTATGTGACTTCAGAATCTCCCAGACCAAACCCACACTGCAGATAAACCAAAAATGTTTTCCAGCTATTCACCAAGAAAAGCAAATCTACATTTTTTAAACAAACTAAGAACCTCTTAAAAGGGGGGGGGCTTTTATATAATCTCATTGGCATTCCTTATCACAAGAAAGATTTCCCGATAGCAGAACACTCAACATAAATTAACAGGGAGATCATCAGATTTACGTGTTCCTTCAATGACAGCTTTACAATGTTGTTGTTGGAATTACATTAACATCCTACACACAAAAAGAACAAGAGGAATGGTATAAAGCAAGAGCTACTGCCAACTTACACTGGTGAGGCAGGAAAATAATAACACCGAGTTGCCTTGAGACAGTATCATATCAGTGTCTTAAATCAAATTAATAATGGAAAAGCAGGAGACAGCCAGGGGCAACAACATGCAAGCCACCTCCTCCGTGAGGAACTACAGACTGGCTCATTGGAGAACTTTGTGCAAGGCATTTAGGCAGGTGGCATTGAGTGATGTGCCCCAGTCAGTGCAAGTGATGACCTTGCACAAGACTTGAACCACAAAACCACCCTCAGTCCCTCCTGAATTTATTCCCTCCCCAGGCTGGAACGCTCACCACGGGGAAAGGAATGGATTAATGGGTGAGGCTAGGTACAAAAATTACACAGTAGCAGGGGAAAAATGTAAGCTGTGAAGTGGAAAGGAGGGCTTTTAGTGATCCATTTACTTTTAGAAGAGCAGTTAGTTGTGTTGGGGAGACAAACACTGGGAACACTGCTTTGGTTGTAAGATCCAATAGCACTGAGCAAGGGAAGCTTCCCATGAGGGAAGCTGTGAGAGATACACCCTTACCCAGAGCAATAAGGTGTCAAGGCCCAGAATGTCCATTCACACAACCAGCTCTAATCACACCCCAGATAAAATGAGTGCGTATTGGAGCTTAGAAAAACCTTGCAGGATCGAGAATGCAGAGGGATTTGATGGGCTGGTTGGGGTCTGGGCTTGGAGTTCGAATTCCATCGACCAAGAGGTAGTGGCAAACAAAGTCAGTGCAGTGACCTCGGATCTGGGGAAACTGGAGCTCCCACTGAGGTGATCACTGATCACTCCAGATGAACCACAGATGCCAACGGCAGCTCTTGTTCCTCTGGGAGCCCATCACACCACAGGGGATTTCCAGTCACTAACACCTTTGACAGAGGGTTTACAAGGAAATGTGTCCCTGGCCCCTCAGTGCTTACAGCCTCAATTATGGTTACAGACAGTGGCCTCTGACAGAATTAGGGCAGGAACTGTAGGGGATTTACCACAAGAAATTAGGGAAATAATTGCTAAAAATGATACCACCACCCCTTTTGAAATCCATGTCAGGCATGGTGGCAGTTGGTCAATTTTAGCTATAAGGAAAAAAAGGGACAAAGAGAGACTTATGTCCTCACTCTCAGGGAAGAGAATGTTTGGGACATTTTTCCAATGATCTTGGCACTGGGAGCAATCCATCGAGACGCTGTGGTAAGGCCAGTAGGGCTTAATGCATGGGCTAAATATAATGATGGCACAGAGAAATGGCAAACCATTGGTACTGAGGCTTGTATCCCTTTGGGACAATGAGGGTGTATCTGTGAAAATGCAGTAACAGAAAAGGAGGATCGATGCCTCCATGCTGAAGACAGTACATGCACACTTGAGATGCTTCCCACAGGCCATGCACAATCACAAGTGTATTATGTGGGAAAAGGGGGGGCGTGTATTTGGACAC